TCGGCGCAAAAAACAAATATAATTTTCGAATATAATTCTAATAGTACTCGAATAGAATTTCTATTACAACGCCAATGGAAATTCAATAGAATTTCTTTGCGAAAGCGCTACGTTTTTNAGATTTTCAAATAGAATTCTAATTGTACTCGAATATAATTCTTATAAGAACACCAATGGAAATCAATAGAATTTCTTAGCGAAACAATTTCATAATGATAAGTGTGGAAACGCCGATTCTATAGGATATTCTGCAAGTTCATGGTATAAGTTTTTGAAGAGAAAATTAGATACAAAAAAGTCGATAGATTTTTATTTTTCTATGAATATTCTCGGGCATGAATTTGCAAAGTTTTTTTGCTTCCATTGTATTGCAAGAAATAAAGGAAAATGCCAGCAAAAAAACTTGGTAAATTCATGCCCAACAGTTTTCATAGAAAAAATAAATTCTGTTAATTTTTTTCCATCTCATTTTCTCTTACAAAAATTATAACGTAAACTTGCAAAATATCGTAAAGAATCGGCGTTTCGACTCTTGTCTCTATGAAATTGTTTCGCTAAGAAATTGTATTGAATTTCCATTGGTGTTCTTATAAGAATTCTAGTCGAGNAAATGGAAGTCAATAGAATTTCTTAGCGAAACAATTTCATAATGACAAGTGTGGAAACGCCGATTCTATAGGATATTCTGCAAGTTCATGGTATAAGTTTTTGAAGAGAAAATTAGATACAAAAAAGTCGATAGATTTTTATTTTTCTATGAATATTCTCGGGCATGAATTTGCAAAGTTTTTTTGCTTCCATTGTATTGCAAGAAATAAAGGAAAATGCCAGCAAAAAAACTTGGTAAATTCATGCCCAACAGTTTTCATAGAAAAAATAAATTCTGTTAATTTTTTCTCATTTCATTTTCTCTTACAAAAATTATAACGTAAACTTGCAAAATATCGTAAAGAATCGGCATTTCGACTCTTGTCTGTATGAAATTGTTTCGCTAAGAAATTGTATTGAATTTCCATTGGTGTTCTTATAAGAATTCTAGTCGANCCATCTCATTTTCTCTTACAAAAATTATAACGTAAACTTGCAAAATATCGTAAAGAATCGGCGTTTCGACTCTTGTCTCTATGAAATTGTTTCGCTAAGAAATTGTATTGAATTTCCATTGGTGTTCTTATAAGAATTCTAGTCGAGTACTATTACATTTCTATTGGAAAATTCTATTTGTTTTTTGCGTCGATTTAAGTAATTTTTTTAAGAGAAAATTTGAGGGGAAAAATCCAACAGATTTTCTTTTTTCCATGAACATTCTTGGGCATGAATTTACCAAGTTTTTTACTTGCCTTTTCTTTCAGTTTTTGCAATAATATGCAAGCAAAAAAACAGGAAATTCATCCCCAAGACTTTTCATTGAAATATAAAAATCTATTTACTTTTTTCCATCAAATTTTCTCTGAACAAAATGAAACTATAAACTTGCAGAATATTTCATAGAATCGGCGCAAAAAACAAATATAATTTTCGAATATCATTCTAATAGTACTCGAATAGAATTTCTATTACGACGCCAATGGAAATTCAATAGAATTTCTTTGCGAAAGCGCTACGTTTTTCTACTAAATTTTTTCACTGTCCAATTCCAATGGAACTTACGTTTCCCAGCTGCTCCATCACCATCTCCTGGATGAATTGGGCTATTTCCGGAGTTATTCCGGGAAGTCTTCCGGAATGGCCCCCCTCGGCATTCTGTTGCTGTTCTTCTAAAAAATAAAAATTATAAACCCATGAATCCACAATTCACAAAATTACACTACAATTACATTTTACTAACCGCACAAATCATATATAATGAATAACAATGATTCGAACAAAATATTCTCNTGGAGTTATCCCGGGAAGTCTTCCTGAATTGCCCCCTTCGGCATTCTGTTGCTGCTGTTCTTCTTAAAAAATAAAATTATAAACCCATGAATCCACAATTCACAAAATTACACTACAATTACATTTTCCTAACCGCACAAATCATATATAATGAATAACAATGATTCGAACAAAATATTCTCCATCCCAAAACAACAGATAACCCCACTTTTTTTTCCAGATTGGCCCCATTCTTATTTTTTTTTATTGGTACTCATATATTATATTATTTTAACACGACACACTTCCTTACCATTATTACGTATGAAATGAANTCCGGATTGGCCCCATTATTCACTCATACATTATATTATTTTAACACGACACACTTCCTTACCNATTTTCTTTCAGTTTTTGCAATAATATGCAAGCAAAAAAACATAGGGAATTCATCCCCAAGACTTTTCATTGAAATATAAAAATCTATTGACTTTTTTCCATCAAATTTTCTCTGAACAAAATGAAACTATAAACTTGCAGAATATTTTATAGAATCGGCGCAAAAAACAAATATAATTTTCGAATATAATTCTAATAGTACTCGAATAGAATTTCTATTACAACGCCAATGGAAATTCAATAGAATTTCTTTGCGAAAGCGCTACGTTTTTCTACTAAATTTTTTCACTGTCCAATTCCAATGGAACTTACGTTTCCCAGCTGCTCCATCACCATCTCCTGGATGAATTGGGCTATTTCCGGAGTTATTCCGGGAAGTCTTCCGGAATGGCCCCCCTCGGCATTCTGTTGCTGTTCTTCTAAAAAATAAAAATTATAAACCCATGAATCCACAATTCACAAAATTACACTACAATTACATTTTCCTAACCGCACAAATCATATATAATGAATAACAATGATTCGAACAAAATATTCTCCATCCCAAAACAACAGATAACCCCACTTTTTTTTCCAGATTGGCCCCATTATTCACTCATATATTATATTATTTTAACACGACACACTTCCTTACCATTATTACGTATGAAATGAACACCATGGGAATTAATTATTTCAATTTGAAACGACGATAATTAAAAAAATCGAGGAGTGCACTTACCTGTCATTATGGTTCCGTGGCTTATGAAGTTTCCATCGCACCGGCCGGCACGACGCGGAAACAACAGGCAACCTAGACACATTTGTGTCCTGCCAGATCATTGGTCGATCGACAGGTAGTCGCTCACTGCGCCGGCGCAGTAGNTTCATTATGGTTCCGTGGCTTACGAAGTTTCCATCGCACCGGCCGGCACGACGCGGAAACAACAGGCAAGCTAGACACATTTGTGTCCTGCCAGATCATTGGTCGATCGACAGGTAGTCGCTCACTGCGCCGGCGCAGTAGGCTACTGTGTCATACGTCTCTGTGTTATCAGTCGTTTTCGGTTGTGACCATTGAGTTATGGCAGTGTTCCGGTCGAAAATTTCTATTTTCAGTGATTGTTGAAGAACGGTAATATTTTTCGCATTGCAACAATTAATTTTATAGTGACAAGTGTATAGTAANCCGTTTTCAGTTGTGACCATTGAGTTATGGCAGTGTTCCGGTCGAAAATTTCTATTTTCAGTGATTGTTGAAGGACGGTAATATTTTTCGCATTGCAACAATTAATTTTATAGTGACAAGTGTATAGTAAACAGTCTCTTCCGTTATTATAATGCAAGGATTTGTGCGATGGAGTCGGAGAATGGAAAGAAGAGACGAAAGAAGGCGAGACCGTATTTGTCTACGAAACGTCGCAAACGGGGACCAAAAAAGTAAGTCTATTGTAATTTTTGTTTTAGTCTTCGGTCTTTTTTGTGTGAATTGTCGCTTTCTCTCTCTCACTCTTTCTTTCTTTCTCTTCCGTTCTCTCTTTCTTTCTTTCTCTCTTTATTCTCAAAGGATGAAGATTATTGGCGATCGGATATTTGTTTGTCCTTCTCATCATACCACTGTCGTTGTTGCAATCTTTAGAGCGATAGTGAAATGCTGAAATGAATGCGCCTCTGTGATCAGGAGTGTCGTATATATGTATTAGATAGTAAGAATCCAATCACATGTGCATAAGAGGGTGAGTGAGAGTTCGTATGAAGAGTCGAAACTGCAAAACAAATCCCATTTCTATTTCATCGCTAATCTCTAATGTTTTCTGAAATAACCTGATTTCGTTATGATTTCTACTGATTTTGTCAAGCCATTCGAAATCACAATGAGGAATGAAAATCACTTGATTTCCGTGAATTTCCACTAATTTCTGTTAACTCCTTCCTTCATTTTCGATCGAGTAGTCCGGTGATTGATGAAGTGACCAACTCGTCAGCGGAATTGGACAAGTAGTTTAGAAGATTATCGACTGTTTGTGAAAAACCGAACTGCTTAATATCTCCCAAACGTGCTGGTCTTATTTCATTTTCTCTTTCTTCCGAATACTCGTCGTGCTGCACACAATGGAGGTCGATCGAAATAGGAAGAGTTGATGGAAGACAGTTTTCGATATATTCGCTTTTTCCTTTTTTACTTCATCTCAGAGTGAATTTGTCGTGAAATAATCCGGGCAAAAGTTGGAAAGAATATTTAAAATTTTGATTGCTAGTTTTCATCAAGTCGAACTTCTACCGACGATATATCGTCGTGACGATATATAGACGATCAAAAAACGGAAACAACTAAAAAAGTCAAAACCCAGGCAAGATAAATCTTCCCAAAATCGTGATGAGATGCACCGATCCAATGTCCTCCGAGATTGCAACGATTCCAAAATTCTCAATGTTTTTTCAACCCGTGATGATCTCTCCTAATTATTTATCGTTTTTTCTCTACGGCATCTCTACAAATTAGGGTTCTGCACATTTGGCTCGCTGTACGACTGGGGTTTTCCATGATTTCTCGTGCAATTCTAGCCGAATGATTCATAACAGTAAGACGGCCCATGGTAACGCAGAAAGAAAAATGAAGAGATGAGTAGGAGAGGCATGAGGCAGATGAAATGAGGAGTCTAAAAACCGTAACGGTAGTAAGAAGGAAATGAATAATAAAATAATACAGATCCTCATTTTGTCGATGATTTTCCGTGCGTAGATTACGAAAAAAGCCATTTACAATTAAATTATGTTGTTATTCAACAATTGTAGAAATATAGTCCATTGATTTCCTTCGTTTAAAAACAAAAAATGTTGGAGATGGTATCCATCAGACAAAACCGAAAAGCTGAATAGAAATTTCTATTTTCCATTGTTGAAATTGCAATTGTTGCGGATCCATTTGGAAGCTTGTTAACAATAGAATTTGTAGAGAAAACAGTAAAGAAAAATACTAATAACGCATAAAGTAATGGCCCCATGGCGTCTGTCGAATAGGGCCGTCTCTGTTTGTTTATATGGAGAATCATTGAATTTGTCAAATTTACAGAATATAGTAGAATATATTACAATATTCCATTGCAATGAATTGACATGGAGTTGCATCGATTACCAAATATAAATTAGATAATCTCATCATCTTCAAGGTAGAATCGTAGTATTTAACAAAAAAATTGATATCATTATCACACAACCCTTTCAGGACGAATTTCCGAAGGCTATCTAATCGCCAGGAAAAATTGATGAAAACCTTTAGGATTATCGGTGCGAATGGTTTAGTTTGTTCTTGGACTGAACGCATAAACTTCCCGTGTCATGGAATTCTCCATATATTTTCTGTCGCAGTCCTTCGATAAAAAATCCCTGGCAGTAGTAGGCTATAACTTCGGTTTCTCCGGAACTGTTATTATTGAAAATAACTTTCGAGTCTTCAGAATTATTTTTTGGAAATTCACATTTCAGTTAGGTGAGGTGTATGCACTGTGATTCCGCCTTCTGGAATCAGTGTACGTTCGTACACTGATTTTTTTGTCATCGTTTCTAATAAAAAAAATTCATGGCTCTCGAGTGGGAATTTTCCTAAGGGGAAATGTGTTCACAGATCTCGCGATCACTCGCAAAAGTAACATAACACTTTCAGAAAAATGCATGTTCTCTACGCTCTCCTGCAACAATTAGTGAGAAGTTCCGAGCGGGCCGTAATATTGAGGCACATAAATACATGCAAGAGGTTGTTCTCGATAACGGACCCGATCCTGGAATACTTTTCATCTCTATTTTCAGATGTGCATAAATCCTTATGGATCTCAGCTATACGAATCTTCTAATCACTCGACGAAAAATCTCAAATATGAGAGGGTTTATTTTTCCTCAATTTCTTTATACATCCAATAGCAATTTCGTCAACAGTTATCTCCATTGCTTTTCGAATTTGAAATGTGGCGAATAAACGAGGTTCTGAATGCACTGGTAAAGTTAACTATACTATAGTTGCATAGAAATTCCTCCTGCAGATGCAGGATTTTGTTTTGGTAGTAAATCAGCTTTTTCCTATCCGTGGAGCCAGTGAATAAAAATATTACACGGATGAATGCACGTGACGTTCACAGTCAGCTGTTGTTCCATTCGTTACTACTTCCAATGGTATTCTCTAAAAACAATCGGAACTGGAATGGTAATGATGAGCAGAGGATACTTGTTTTCATTTTCCTCCGATATCGATATTCCCGGAGATCTAAAGCTCAATGTTCCCGAACTGTCATACAAACACTGACTAACATATATACATTTCGCACTTAGTTTTAAATCCAGTTTGGAATCAAGCGATCCATTGTTTGCAGGAAGAAGAAACTTGCGGAGTCAGTTGACGGGAGTGGGGCGACGACTGGGTGCCATGGTGAGGACAGGATGGACGTACAGGTAAGTATGAACATTTCTTTCCATAGTGAGGGCGGGGGGGATCAGGGGAGACCGTAACTCGAAAGCGACACCGCCACAGACGCCAACCAGCATGACACGTCTGCGGGGGAAGAGATCGGATCTGAATCAAGACAAAGGCAGACTGTGGAAATCAGCACCGCTTCTAATCCATCGTTCCCACCATTCGGCTCCCAAGGAAGCAGTACAGGAGAATCATGGATTTTGAAATCAGGTCTAACCGAGGCTGACTTATTGGGGAACATAGCTGACAATGATACCTCGGATGCCCAACGCGAAGCAGGAGGCCAGCAGCCCGAAACACAATATGCGGTGAAACTTAGTGAAGATTCTCACCTCATGGATGTTGATAACTGCGCTAATGAAGGATCAGCATTGATGAAAGAGAAACGAGGCTTTACTCCTGGTGTGAACGAAACTTCTACAACCAATGCAGCCTGCATCAGAATGACAGTAATGGAAGCGGATAACAGTGGAAGACACCCAATTTGTGATGACGCTCCGTTGACTGGGCAAGACTCCCGAAATATTTCAGGAACACCCGCTGCGCATCCACAAAAAACTGTCCTGCGGCCAGGTTTATTGAAGGCTGATTCAGGATTGGCTGCCAGCATTGGATTTACACGTGTCTTGTACACTGTGGAAATTGCAGAGGAAAGTGGAGTAAGTGAAGACGCTCTCCTGATCGGCGAATTACCGTCATTGGCTAAAGTAAGGGATAATCTGGCGAAAGGAGACACTAGAGCAATGCATTCAGAAGAACGATCCGATTGTGATAGCATTGCAACAGTGGAAAGTGACCGAGGTATTTTCTTGTCAGGACGGACGAGTGTCTTTTTTCAGGATCACGATTACTCGAGAATGGTCAGGAGCTCCTCCCCGAATTCACGAACCTGTACGCAATACTCGAATAGCACTATTTCTGATGGTCTATGGGCCAACGAACAATGTATCACGGAAGAATGCTTGATCATGGACTTTGACGACGAAATCGGGGACGCTATTCCAGAGAGCGGTGCAGATGAGATGCATCATAGACAAACGTTTCCTGTATCTCTCCCTTGTATGGAAGGAGACCAAGATGGCGAATGTGAAGAACGCAATTCCTTGTCAGGCATCCCTCAAGGCAGCTGTCATTCGATATCAATTGATTTCAATAATCAGTATGACGAGTTGATGGATATCACTCCTGCCGAACCACGCGTGGAATTCAACTGTCCTCTTCAAGGCCTCGACAATGATAGAAATGGAGTAGAGGAGAGCTCCGAAAGAGCATCAGGAAACTATCCGGAACATGTATCGCCGACGTCCAATCAAAATGACATGAATGATCAACCTCAAAATCGTGATGCCCTTGCTGGT